AGAAAGACTTTGATGGCATTAACATCTATGAATTGGTCCGAGTTGGGGAACATAATCAAACCATAAATGAGAAGAGCCAAGACGTCTTCAAAAGCTTGGAAATCCATGTCGTCCCAGAATAAACGAGCCTTCTCCAATAGAAACTTGGCTAGGAAACCTTTGACCCCGCTTCTTGTCTCCCAATTGGTTATGACGTCAGCTCTTTTCAGATGCAAAGCTTCGGCGATGATTTCAGGTTTCGGAATCCCTTCTAGACCGGTGAACGGTATCTGATCAAGCACGGGCACCCCCTAAGAGTAGAGAGAACTCTTCTAGTGTAGGTACCAACTGATAGTCTGGGAAAGTGAAACAATGATGTACGGGATCAAAGAATTGGAACAACACACACATCATCTCCTCTTGGAAGTTGGATGTAGCCAAACTGAGGAGTCGACCATATTTCTTGGTAAAAGGAGAATCCCCGGGAACTCTTGAGGCTAACTCTTGAAGCTAAGGGTGTGCTTTTACAAAGTTGATTCGGATGGTGTTTCTTCGGCCAGAATTCATGACCTACAAAACAAAAACAAAGATAAATTTCTAAATCCTTGAAATGGTTAGTGAGTATGTGTATGATGCTTATGATGTTTATGATGTTATGTACAAGTAAGTATATACACATAAAGCAAACAAATACATATGTTTTAGGCTTGCATGAGGCCTTATAGGTAAGTACCATCTTGAAGTTTAGTCGACTCAACCTGTCCTAGTAATAGTGATCGGGTTCTAAAGGATCTCAATATCACCGACCTTTCTTTTAGGCGTTGTCTCAGCACAATCAATCTTTTCTTGCGGCCGAGATATCCCAAAAATCCAGCCTCAGTGAGTGTAGTATCAAGTATCAACCAATTTTCAGCTCTACACTGAAACCGGTTATCTCACTACGTCCTAATGGCCAAGTTTGTTCAATTAGGGTTCTAAAGTCAGTTAGTGCTTCATGACGCCACTCATCGGCCCCGTATTCTCCTTGATTCACCACGAGGGATACTAGTACCCACAAATGCGTCACACTAATATACTCATTGCTTCAACCATATCGGTCTACGTCGTACAGTTTCCACAATCTATTGCTACTTACCTAAAAAGGTGTCTCAGATCCGGGTGGAGGATCAAAGCAAGCCCAAACAGAGAACCATAATATAAAACATACAAATCAAACAAAGAAAGCAAGTAAATGTGATCTAACCCTAAGGTAACCCCACTTTTTAGATTGTCTCCGGTAGAGTCGCCAGTTCTGAGACGCGGTGGGAGAACTGACTTTTTAATTTACATTTTATCGCAAATGTTACAATTAGCAAGAGTCGCCACCGAATTTTCTTTTATCCAAAAAAGAAAAGGTGAAAAAATACAGGAAAGACCTTTGAGATTGTTTTTTGAGTTCGGGGGTACATTATGAAAAAGGAAGGTATTAGCACCCTTTTCATCCATGGTTTTCCATGGGCTCTTAGTTACTTGCTAGATCACTTGCTTTTGTTTGAAATTATGCTTTGTGTGGTTTTTGAAAGTATTTTGAAAAGGTGTCATTGTTTAGACAAACTTTATAATAGTTCTCGTTCGTAAGAACATGTACAAAGTGTTGAGCTTTTAAAAATATTTCATGTTTGAAAAAGGTTTTGAAAGTGTTTTTGAAAGTGTTGGTTTTGAAAATAGCAAGGATATTTGTTTTGAAATGGAGCAAGCAACTAGAAGCAATCTACCTACTCAAATGTCTTTCTTGTTTATTTTCTGTTCTTTTGACATTGTTGTCTTACCATTGATTTGGCAAGCAATCATATCTTTAGAGGTAAGTAGGACGGACGTGCCATCGTATAGTCATGATAGCAATGTTGTGAAGTATCTTAGCATTTTGAGGGACTAAGATCATTTTTGTAAGGCAACTTTGAATAGCGTCATCGGATGACTATGATCTTGTATTTCGATTGTTTTTTCTAACACCCCACATGCATAACATGACCATTTTTTTAGGCAACAAGTGGAGTTAACCTTAAAGGTGCATGTGTGAATAGTTTGTTTGATTTACATGCATTTAATCTTTGATTAGGGTTATCTGTTTGTTGATTTTATCTTGCCATGCACATCCTAATTACTAGTATTTATATTTGAAAGCGATAAATTGCATAAATGTAAAGTCCTACGCTATTACAATATTTTGGGGATGGGAGTACATATTTACAAATGGGGATTGTAAATAAAATTAAATCCTAAGTGACTATTACAACCATATTGAATGGATAAGAATGTACAAAAAATGTTAAATGAACTTGTTTTATTTTTAAGAAGATATTTTTGATCTTTTGTTTTAAGAAATAAAATAAAGCATGTAAAAAATGAGAAAAATGTTTTTTGTGTCATTTTTATTAATGAAATAGAAAGTAATAGCAAAAATAGTGAGAAAAAGAAAAATATAATCAGCGTATTGCTGATTAAAGGAGGTCAGAAGTTCTGACTCTAGCGTGCTGCAAAACAGATATCTTGTTAGTGAAAAATAGGTAAAGTCAGAAGTTTTTGGTCCGCTGGGAGTAAAGTAGTTTTCAGAAGTTCTGATACCACTGACAGAATTTGGTCTCTCTCTCCATGCTAGTCAGAACATCTACAACTTGATCATTTCTCAATAAAAACAGAATATGCGCATATGACAGTCATGGCAGATTTCATAGTGTTTCAGAAATAAGAGATATCATAACTATAAATCAGAGGCAAGCTTGAATTTGCTAATCCTAATTTTGAGTTCTAATTTCTTCAAGAAGTTTTGAACTAATTTACTCCCTACTTAGGCAGACAACTACGTGAAACTTCAGAATATGTACAGTATCAGAAACATGATGTCTGCATTGTATTTTTGAACATGCAAATCTAGTAATGCTTAAGTAATGTGGTGAGAGTCAGCAGAAGCTTATCTTGTTGCTGGAAAAGATTCTTGTGACCTGGAGTTTGGTCCTGAACTCTGGTGATGTTCTGAGCAACTTCTTCACGTACTCAGCAGATTGGAAGTTTTCTGGAACAGCTAAGGGGTAATGTTCTGACTTTTTTGAGGTGAAGGTGGATGGAGAGGGTATTACAATATGAACACATAAGTTAGGATAGCTTCTAATATGTGAATCAGAAACTGTGTGGATGATTTTAGTCAAGAAACACTTTAGAATAAATAGAGTTTGAATGCAAGGAATCAAAAGTTAACAAGTTTTGTATGTTGTGTTTGCAGTTTTTTGGACTCTTGGAATTTTTGCAGGGGTTCAAGACTTTTTCTTTCTCAAATTTCTGATTGTTTTCAATGGCCAATGGAGTTCAATTTATAGGCAAAGATTTTGTAGTTTGGAGAGGTCAAGTGGCACCAACGTCGTACGCTAGACGCTGACTTACTCTTGAAGTAAGCTTAAACACGCATGGTTCAGGGCACAAAGTAGGATAGTTAGCAGGTTTAGCAGCGCCTAAGCTGGATTTGTCAGCATGAATTAAGGAAAAGTAAAGGCAGCGCATGGGCCTAGCACACTTTTGCATAAAAGTTTACTTTTCCAAGACAGTAGAGGTACACGTGGGGGAAATCCTTTGGATAAAAATACAAAAGTGGTTGTGAGCATTAAATGATAATGAGATTTATCAAATCAGAAATCCTGCCATGTGAAACTCTACATCATTGCTTAATTCTGAATCAGAAGTTCTGCTTGAGCGTAGCATCCAATCTTCTGATCCTTTTATCTTCTGGCTCCAACATGTTCTGAAGGAGCTCCCAGACTTTCCAGGAAGCTTGCAACACGCTTTGTAACCTTCTTTGACTTACCCTTGCAAACTCTGACTGGTCCTTTGTGAAAACTGACCCAAAAGTTCTGACCAAATTCTGTCTTGAAAGTGTCCAGAATTTGCTGAGTGTTTTAGTTTCATGGACGTACCTTTGAACATTTATAACTTGAAATTCCAGTATTTCTAGGAGAAGTTTTGTTCTGCAATGTTTTAGATCTTATTGAAATCTAAAACTTTTGTATCAGAAGTTCTGCCAGAATCAGCTTGCATCATGGTGAAAATCTGATAAGAAGTTCTGAACTTGTCATATTTCTTAAACACTTAGAAAAAATTCTAAATATTTAGAAATTTAACTTTTCCAAAGTAGCTTTTGAGTTTTGAATTTCCAGATGAAACAAACTTCATATCTCAAACATGTCTTGATGAAATATGACTCTTGAAACTTAATTTTGATCAAAAGTCAAAGTTGGACTTTTTAATGCGCAAATGACCATTTTGCCCTTGTGAATGACTTGCTTGGAGAATTGATAACTTCAAGGCTTGGAAATAGATGGAAGCAAACTTGGGGTCCAGGGTGATCCTTCGTGAAATGAGAGGGAAAATTTTGAGGTACAACACAATGTATTAATGAAACAGAATTTAACATTAATAGATAATTGTTTGAATAACAAAAGAAATTACAATTGAAAATTCGAATAAACAGAAAATTTCCTCGCCCATACTGTCGCTTCATGTGGATGCCCTTGAGGGGTGATAAAAAAGCTCCAATTGACCGTCTTGTGTGAACTCCAACGCTCCTCCGTCGATCGAGTTTTGAATCTTGTACTTTAGCGCCCAACAATCGTTTGTATCATGTCCAGGACTGTCGGAATGATAGGCAGACCTGGCATCAGGATTGTAGTTAGGAGAAGAAATTTTGGGGTTTTAATGAGGTCCCATCAACGTAATCAGATTCATCCTCAACATGTGTTGCAAAGCTTGAGACAGTGGCATGTTGAAGTTAGTAAACTGTCTCTCGGGTTTGTTTTGTCTTTGCTGATTTTCCCGTTGATGCTGACAAGGTCGTTGTTGGGCCCGTGACGTGGAAGCAATTTGGAACGGTCTAGTCTCCACCAAACTGACTTCATGTCTCATGGGAGGCTGAGTAGTGACTTCATCCTAATCTTGACCGTTTGTTTCATACGGTTGCAACTGTCTTGGTGAAGCTTGTTAACGAGGGTCATTAACTATTTTTCTCCCCGAGCTAAGTTTTGGATGAAAGCCATTTGTCTCAACATCTGGATTCTCATCGTTGCTGCCTCCGCCTGCAACTGTCTCGTTTGACTTTCCTTATCGTCTTCAGGATTTTCATTGGTTACGCTCTCAATGAATAGTGTTTTCAACTCTTCTTGCCCCTTGGACAGGTTCAAGAACGTCTCTTGTAGTTGAGCATTTTGAGTATGGATGTCTTTGATAGTCTGCTCTAGAGTCATCTCTACTGAAATAAACAGTATGAAGATAAGGAGACTTGTATGGGAGAAACCTGTCATGATATGATGCATGATATGTGGATGCTTATTTTCAAGGATCTCGCGGGGTAAGCACAAGAAAATATTAGAAGTTGAACTTTGATCAACAACTTTGATTGGAGAACTTCGTATCAGTGAATGTTCTTCCACGAGAATTAAGCTCACCATGTCAAGTGGGTCATAGCCCTTAACTCAAGTTGTTGTACTTTGGTCTTGACGACATTTGATTAGAGAATGAATCTTTTTGCCCCTTGATAGGCGCCTGGTTCAACATGACCCTGCATCATAGACCCTTGAGATCCTTGAAATGGTTATTGAAAATGTTATGGTATGATGTTATGATGTTATGATGTTATGTACAAATATGCAAAGTAAGCAAGTACAAATAATCATATTCACACAGAGCAGACAAGTCCTTAGGTTTAGGCTTACATGGAGTCTTATAGGTAAGTACTCTCTTGAAGTTTAGTTGGCTCAACCTGTCCTAGTTAATAGTAATCGGATTCTAAGGAATCTCAATATCACTGATTTGTCTTCTCGGACATTGTTTCAGCGCAAGCCTCTTTCACGACGACCGAAATATCCCGAAAATCAAACCTCAATGAGTGTAGTATCGAGTATCTACCAACTTCGAACTGCACCAAAGCAAGTCATCTCACTACGTCCTAATGATCAAGCTGGTCAAGTAAAGGTTCTAAAGTCAGTTAGTGCTTCATGACATCACTCAGCAGCCCCGTATTCTCCTTGACTACTCAAGGGCTACCAGTACCCACAAATATGTCACACTAATGTAGCTATTGCTTAGACCGTGTCGGTATACCCTGCACAGTTTTCACAATGTATTGCTACTTACCTATAAGGTATCCCAAATTCGGGTAAAGAATTTAAGCCCAAACAAGAAACCAAAATGTAAAGCAATCAAATCAAACAATGAAAGCAAATAAAGATGATATAGCCCTAAGGTAACCCCACTTTTTAAGTTATCCCCAACAGAGTCGTCAATTCTATGATACAGTGGGAGAACTGACTTAAGTGTTTTGCGTTTGATCGCAAATGTTGCAGATAGCAAGAGTTACCATCGACTTTTTTTATCCAATAAGGAAAGGCTGAAAAGAACAAGAAAGACCTTTCGAGATTATTTGAGTTCGATGGGTAGATTATGAAAAGGGAAAGTATTAACACCTTTTTCATCTGTAGTTATCTACGGGCTCTTAGTTGCTTGCTAATTCACTTACTTTTGTTTGAAAGTGTCCTTGTGATGTGGGTTTTGAAAGTATTTTGAAAACATGTTTGTAATGGTTCTCATTTCTATAAGAACGCGTACAAAGTGTTGTTTGAAAAATAGTTCAAAGAAGTGTTTGTGTAATGTATTTTTGAAAGTGATTTTGAAAAGGTGTCTTTGTAATGGCTCTCGTTTCTATAAGAACGTGTACAAAGTGTTGCCTTTTGAAAATATTTCAGAATGAGAGTGTTTGTGTATAAAATGTTTTTATTGTGAGCAAGCGAGCAACTAGGAGCAAATCTACCTACTCAAAAGGTCTTAGATGTTCTTTTCCTCCTCCTTTAGATGTTGTTATCTTACCATTGATTTGGTAAGAAGCTCCATCGTTGGATGTGAAGGGACGAGCGTAGGACGTTTATATAGTCATAAAAGGCAACATATAAGACGTTTTAGCAATATCGTTTTAGGGGCTAGATCATTTACCGAAGGCAACATCGAGGGTTATCGAGGGACTACGGTCTTTTATCGAGGGTGTTTGCTAAAACACCCATGTTTGAGGGACATGACTATTTTTCTGAGGCAACAAGTGAGATTACCTTAAGAGTGCATGTGTGCAAAGTGTGTTTAATTGCATACATTTTGTCTTTGATTTTTAGGTTGTCTACTTGTTGGTTTTATCTTGTAATACACATCTAATTACTAACATTTGTACAAAAGTAATAAAAATGCAGAAAATAAATCATACACTATTACAACCATATTGAAGTGCATACATATATAAAGGCAAAAATAAAATAAAAAGAAGGAAAATGAGCTCTTTCGATTGGGGGGAGAACCCTTCGATTTTGCTCCTGTTGGCCTCCTTCGATTGGAGCTGGCGTCAACAAGGTCATGGCCTTCGATTAGGTACTTTTGTCCAATCGAAGGCTTACCTTGTCATGGTCATATGTGGCCAAACGAAAGAGTGTACATGGGGGGTCCCTGTCTTATAACTGTTTAGCATGAGGAAAGTTAAATGCCCAAACGAAAGGTTTGACCTTGTGCTGAAGAATTCATGCCCAAACGAAACAAGCATGCAGGCAGCAAATTTGTCCAATCGAAGCAAGCATGCAAACAATATACTTGTCCAATCGAAGCAAGCATGCAGACAATATATGCCCAATTGAAGCAGGCTTACAGGAAGCATGTGCCCAATCGAAGCAGGCTTGCAGGCAGTAAACTTGTCCAAATCGAAACAGGCTTGCAGGCAGCTATTTTGTCCAAATCGAAAGGCTTGCCCTGCATGGGGCACTTGTGGCAACAAAATTTGATATTCAAAGCAAACATGCAGGCAACATACTTGGTGAATCGAAAGGTTTTCCTTGCAGGGGGCACTTGTGGCCAGCAAACTTTGAGCAATCGAAGGAGGTGCAAAGTCCAATCGAAGAGGCTGAATCGAAGGAGGTGCAAAGTCCAATCGAAGGGGGCTGAATCGAATGAGGCCTATTTTTTCCTCCAAATTTGTCAAAATATTATTTTTATCTGTTTTCCTCCCTTTTTGACAGTTTTCTTTTAATTTTGGTACTGGAAAATCCCAAGACACTTGTGCAAGCTTGAATCTTGAGAATCTTTGTGAGAAAATCCTTGAGAATTGAGAGGGCAAATTTTGGGGTACAACAGAGCTTGATGAAGTTGTTGCGTCTTACCCTCAAACTTTTGTTCGTATCATCGGTTTCGACAACGTTCATTGCACACACACCAAAAGACTACTAAGTTTGAGTATTAAGCTGTTTTTCTTCTATCATTTAGTTTCTTGTGTTTTTCAATTTTGGTTTTGGACTGTAAAATACAATAGATAAGAGTTAATAAATAATATGGTCCTTTTATACATTCTCAAAATATTGTTTATATGTTTCTTCTTCATTGTTATAATTTGATTTTTAAATTTGAAGTAACAAAGGAACCAGTTAGTAATTCAAATGCACTGTAAGAGATATATAAAACACTATTTGAAAATCTATATCTTAACACTCTTTAGAAACTGTGCTCACAGTTAATACTTAAAACACTCTTTATGATATTTTAAGTATGACCAGATCATAAAAATAATTAAATCTAGCATGGCTTATCTATTTGAATGGAATTAGAGGTTTACCTTTTTTGCCTTTAAGTTTATTTTCAGCAGCAGAGCTCTCATTCCTATTATACAAAATATCAAAGAAATTAGAAATATAGCCAACGTAGTAAGTTACAGCTAGCTGGAAATAAAATGCACACAATGATGCTATTAATCCTAGAATTTCTTACGCAAACCAACATGAATACCACTGCTACGAATAGGCCTACAAGTAGGAGTAGACTATGTTGAATATGCATAATTACAGTACTTACAAATGATTTAATATTGAATGGATGTCTAACATTTGTAATCATTCCTCGGCGGAAAATAATTCCTCCAAAAGTTGCAATGAGACATTTGCATTTGCTACCTGTCAAAAAATACAATCAATAGACAATAAGAAGAGTTTCCTGCAATTATACGGGAATAATAAGAGGTTGATTATACAGGAATAATAAGAGGTTGATTATTCAAGGGCAGGTATTTAGCCATAATTACTCGTATCTCAGTGTCCATGTATCTCTGCACAAAAAAAAAAAACAGTTTCAGGATGGCAGTGCACAAAGTCAACATGTAAATATGTAATGTCAGTGATGTAGAGTCTCTTAGGATTCGGTTGAGAGCTATATTTCTAAAGGCTGTGTCTATATGCGGTCCTACCCCACTTCTCTCAAGCTTCACATAAAATTTAGAGATCCTGACCAGGCCTCTCAATCCTCAGACCATGAAACGTAGAGACGACAACCAATGTGTCATTCCTGCTTTTCATCAAACACATGGAGGGCAAGCTCAGACACGCCTTAAATCTGTAATAACCGATAGCTACAATGCCTTAAATCTCTAACAGGCTTTCAGAAATCACCATTTGACACATGTGTGCAAGGGTTACTTCTATGTCCACTACATTTAACTTCCACAGCAAACCAATTGTGATTACATATAGAAAACTATTCATGTAGGGTATCATGAAAATCAACCATTATTTATATAATAGGTTCATACAGCAAACCTAAGCAGCAGATAAATCTTCAGTGTCGTCTATGTATTCTTTGAGCTGCATTACCAGCAAGAGTATTATTATCAAATGAAGTTAAGCAATGTGGGTAAATTCTAAAACTACAACTCTGAGTAAAGTCAATTTTCTCATACCGACGATAATGAAATGAGAGTATTATCAATGACAATAAAGAATGGCCTCTCCAACGCAAATTATTGTGATTACATATAGAAAATTATTCATGCAGAGTATCATGAAAATCAACCATTATTTATATAATAGGTTCATATAGAAAACCTAAACAGCAACTAAATCTTCAGTGTCGTCTATGTATTCTTTGAGCTGCATTAATGAAATGAGAGTATTATCAATGACAATAAAGAATGGCCTCTCCAGCTCTATCCAGCACAACCGATATATCTGCTGCGCCTTCAGCACCAAGCAAGTGATCCACCATTCCAGCATTCGATAAAATTTGATCATATGCTGGTCCTTTTTCACCGCTGAGAGCTGATAAACCCAATTCAATGTTCCTTGAGACCTGAAGTTCAAAAGAATACACTCAGACAAACATTTCACAAAGAATGAGAAGTTGAGAACAATGTATAAATTCAAAACAATTTGGAGCCCTCCATTGCTCATGGGGAAAACATCACATAAAAAGGCAGACATTAGAAAATTACCTCAGCTGCCGACAATGAAAATTACCTCATGGCCGTTCAAATATCTTAATGTCTAGCCACTTCGAAGAGAAATTATCATCTACCCGTTTTCATTTTCTGAAGGCAAAAATGAATCATTGGTTAATGATATTCAAAATACAATTTTTAGATTTCTAAGATCAAATGATGTTGTTTATTTAAACCCTGCCACATCCAGTAGTGTAACTAAGAACCCCATCAACATTCATAGTCCGAGCTACTAAAATTAGCGAATAGCCCGGCCATGGGCTGCTCGTATTCCATCTGTATGAAATGAACACCAAATACATATTTTCCATGCTCTTACCTTAATACCGATTATCCCACTTACGTTCTTTCGGCTCTCTTCGTCGATATCATCTGCAAGATCAAACCAAGAAATAAATTGATTCAACACCACTAAACCTGAAACAACAAAAACGAAATTAAAATCAAAATCATCAAATCAACCAAAAACAACCTAACCACAAAACCCTAAGTTTATAAGAAAATCAAACAAAAAAAAGAGAGGTAAAGATGTAAAGATACATAAATATAGAAGGCTTACCATAGACGAGAAACCCCAGACAAGAAACCGTGACGACGATATTCCTTCGATGATATCCGAAAACAACTTTTAGGTATCGAATAAGAAAATGGAGAAGGAAGAAGAGGAAAAAGATGGAATAAGCAGCAAAGGAAGACATATGAAGACGTTGACGAAAGAGAAGGAAGACGTCGACGAAAGAGAAAGAGAGAAATAGTAAGAGAGAGAGAGAGAGAGAGAAGTAACTTGTTTTAGATTGTTTGAATTTGAATTAAAGAAAAAGAAAGGAGACGTGGCAGATTAAGAAGGTAGCAAGGGTAATGGTGTCTTTTTTAGAAATATAAAAATTCTTATATGGTAGATATTCTTGCATCATTTTATAGAATTTAGAGATTTATTGTATTAAATATATTATAGTATTTATAAAAGATAATATAGTATTTAAAAATATATTATATTTAAAATAATTTAATTTTTAATAAATATTTTAGGATTTTTATTTTAATTTAAAAAAAAAACATGTTTAGGATTTGATAGCCCGAAGCCCACCTAGGTCCAGAGTTGGATAGTAATATTTCTGTATCTTTTAGTGTTTGTGTATCATTTTCATAACACTTTTGCAACACAATTACTAATTATTCATATGTACTATTTTCAGACTGATATCCTCAAGCACTTCCCACGGATATCTGTCTGGTCATATGTTCCGACCTATACTGAGGATATGCCACATGCTTCAACATTTTTCCCGCTTAGAGGGAATCAGGCGACATAGCCATACTTAATGTATCTTGAATGCATGGTAGCACATGATATACACTTCCATACACATGTTGATCACCACGAGACGCGTTCCTTGGATGATATTGCCTTCTACGTTGCATGGTTAGTTTGTAGTTCACGTCTGATATATCATTATCTATATGAGTGCATCATGTATCAGTTTGGCTACATGTAGTTTATTCCTAGAGACCCCTCTGATTCTGCTCCTCCTGCTATGGCACAAAGGGATGTATATGCCATATTTGATGATTAAATTAATCATTTGGTACCAGATGAGGCACATAGTACCATAAATACTAACGGTTGGAGTGCTACACATAATTATGTCCACTTGTATTTTAGAGTGTCACATTTTTATATGACACCAGATGCTTTAGAAGATCCACCCATGCCAACTCATCTGGAGATGCTAGAGTAGGAAAAGGCTAGGGTAAGTCATGTTGTTGATGTGTTGCCTAGATGTCGGTGTGTCATGGATATTGCGCATGCCGGTATAGATAGATGAGTCTTTTGGAAAGGCTCTAAGGCAAGGTATATTCTAGATGCCATCTTAGGAAGTCACGGGAGGTATTATAGTACATGAGGCGTTATAAGAAGAGGAGGGCTCGAGTTCATCATACGCGGTAGTATATAGTATTTGTATTAGAAGCATTATTATCAATTGTATTTTATTTTGACTTTATTGTGTACTCCAAATTTATTAATTTATATGTCATTTTAATATTATTCTGAAAGTGTATGGTTTAATTAATATCAAGTTTATTATGATTGTATAACTATAATACATCGTCAATTTCATCAGTGCATCTCTAAAACAAAGTAAAAAAAATTACTGTCTAGTGAGAATATAGAAAAGCATCTCTGAATTCTGTCTGGTGTAAATACGAAGATGCATTTTTACGGATCAACTTATTTCAAAATGAGGGCATTTCAGTGAAGAATGCATGTGGTGTACATGGAGTGGTTTCGGAGATTCATCTCTAAAATAAATTTTAGAAAAAATATGGGGTAAGACTCTAGCGGGGCGTGTTTTGATGAGACTCAAGGTGCGTTTGGAAATGCAATTTCAAAATCAGAAGGGCATTTTGAGATTTTTCATATGGTATTTTTTTCACCACTTAGGATGGGATAAGCATTTCAAAAAAATTTAAACAAAGAAATTCATACTTGTTTGAGTTTCAAAAGGCTCAAATCTAATAAAATTATCCAACTTTATATCTTTGGGCTCTACCATACGTCTATCCACTTCAAAATGTTGATTTAAAGGTCCATGTATCAACCTAGCATGTTACATATATTTTATGGGGAAATCTCTTTCTACCCTTATGTGTGTATCCAACATATCGAGAAACCCGAAAATGCCCTTCATGCATCCAGAGATGCATCTCCGGGCGCACCCAAAATCACATTAAACTTCTCTTTTCGGAGATCCACCCAATTTTGAAAAAAAATATGGTCTGGAGATGCATCTCTGAAATACCCCGTGTACTCATTTATGTTGTTTTATTTCATTTAGATGATTTAATAAACGACTCAGTAATGTTTCTAGAGATGAATCTCCAGAAATATCCCGCATGAAATTTGAAAAAACACCACCTTGCATGTTCTTCTTTTCTTCATGCTCAAACAAAAATTCTTTCTAAAAACCCTTAAAAAAATCTCTTTCATTCTCAATCATCTTTTATACACAAAAACATTATTCTTGTATTTCATCACTTCAAATGGAGCAAAACAAGCTGAAATTGCAGGTAAATTTCATTCATTTTGTCACTCATTCCTTGCAATAGTACGGTTTTTGAGCTAAAAAATGAACATTTAATCCAGATATGCATCTCCAGACAAAGTTTAGTCTGGTCTAGATATGCATATCTGAATTATCCCGATAGTTTGAGTTTTCATACTATTTTTCTATTGTTGGTGGTATTAGATATGGTGTACCCGAATATGTTTCTCAAAGTTATTGTGAGTGTGAATGTTAAACCAAACAAATTGAAGCACAATGTTAAACCAGATTAAGTGAATGATGATGTTAGACTAGATGAAGTGAATGATGATGTTAAACTAGGTGCTCGACCGATTGCATTCGAGGTAGAAGTACATGCATAATTTACAAATAAAGAAGAGTTTATTATTTGTTAACATATGCTACAATGGGCTCGTTGGAAGGCCGAGAAATTGGGGTTTGGTGTTGTAATCAAAAGGTACGACAATGGTTCAGATAGAAGACAAGCATTTTTAACAATGAGACGCGACAAAAGTGGCACATACCAACCACAAATTAGGAAGTTGAATAGATATGAAACTGGATCTAGGAAATGTGAGTGTCTGTTTAAATTGCACGGATACCGTATGATGGATGAGACATGGAAACTTAATGTGATTTTTGGTATACATAATCATCCCTTTGTCATACCCCAAATTTGTCATACCCTTTTACTTTTATCTGGCTTATGCTTTTCATTTCATCTGCATACACTTCATTATGACATTTACATATCATTCATTCATTCAATAAAGCACATTGGTTCAAAAGGATCAGTGTCCATGCGAGTTAGGGTTTCACACTGGTCTCAGGTGTATATATCAAATAAGAATGATTTATATGGTTCTTCTTTGTGCATCAGACTATGGAATTAGGTTTTTGAAGTATGGTTATCATGGATTTCTTTCTCATCAAGCTACAAGACTATTCTCGCCTCCATTCTACCCTCCTCAACATCAAGTTGCAAGGTTTTCTTCTTCAAGGTTAAAGATTAGGGTTTTCATCTATTATGCTTCAACTGCGGATCATTAGATTAGGGTTTAACCATTGGTTATCTCAAGGAATTTTCTCTCCACCAAGCTAAGGTTTTCCTTCAAGACATGATCAAATGGTTTTATTCGCAAGGACTCCAAGGTTTGAATGAGATAAGGACTATGTATGCTTGTTGCTTGAACTATAAGACAAGGACTATGTCTTGTGAAAGACAAGAGAAAAATGAAGAATCATCCATTCATCACTCAATCATTTAGGGTTTTCTTATCATGTGAAGCTTCATCATTTGAAAGTCAAGGAGACTAGGGTTTCATTTCAAGATGTCCTAAGCATTCTTCTTTCCATACCTCAAGTTCTATCTTCATCTAAAGGTTTTTATAGTTTTGCATATTAATGAGACAAAACTTTGGACAAGATATGTTGTATCATCTGCTTCTATCTTTCACCAATTCAAGGTGTTCATACAATTGTCTGAGGTACAAGAAGGCAAGAATCATGGTTTGTGCAAATAGTGGATCCAATTGTCCTTTGATACATCAAAATTAGGGAGTTGTGTTTATTAAGTTTGTGTTTCAAATGAAAGTTAACTTGGGATACAAGCATCAAGTTGGGGTTTATCAAAAGGTTATCATGAATTATGGGCAAGGTGAACTCAAATGTGACTTGATCAAATTTATTTAGTGTTGGTAAGGATTATCATCTATTAGTCCATGTTAATATTAAGTTGTCAAGAACTAATCCATTCATGGTTAGTTTCTTGAAATTCAAGATACAAGGCTAAGGCATAATTCAAATCTATCAAAGATCCACCAAAGTTTTTCATTCAAGATTCAAGTCATCATTCAAAGTTCATTTTGATTCAAAGTTTATCAAATTCGGTCATCCATTGATTTCAAAGTTTCATCCAAGTTCAAGATTCAATCAAGTTTCATTCAAGTTATTCAAACATCATTCAAGATTCAAGATTCATTCAATTGCCATCATTATTATCAAGACAAGTTCATTATTCATAATTTCATCAAAGAAGGATTATTCAAGTGTGAAACAAGTTCATTCAAATTTATTTACAAAGTACATCAAACATATAAAAGTAATCACAACATAGAAAATAGACAAGAGCCACACTAAGTGTTCTACTTGATTTTCTTCAAGCTTCAATCCTTCCTCATACCACAATATTCTTCCAACTTATGTTAAACATTCCATCCTTCGAAAACCAAATGCAAAACTGCAAAATCAAAACACATTCAAACCAACTTCAAACCGTGCCTTACTCTCTAAACTTTGCTACTTCTCAATGTCCAATATAACCATAAAAACCATACACATTTAAATCCAAATAGACCAAGTAAGCAGCCCTGTATCGGTTTAAAAGGAAAACAAAAAAATGAAAAGTAGAGAAAAACCATGTTGTTGTCCAAAGCCAAAGAGAAAAAACCTGCAAACAATGCCCTGCCTCAGTCCACAAATTAAAAGTAAAAAATGAAAAAAAGAAGAAGAATAAGTAGAGATGAAAACTCAGGAATCAAAAAAGGACAAAATTGCAACAAAAATTTGTAGCTCCCTCATCCCACTCACGTATTCCATTCCTAACTCAAATAATAGCTCAGCATTCTAAAAAA